GAGGAGGAGGAGGAGGAGGAGGAGGAGGAGGAGGAAGAGCAAGAAGAGGGGGAAGAAGAGGAGGGGGAAGAGTAGAAGGAATAGGAGAGGGAAACAGTGGCGGCCTGCTGGAAGCCCCACTTCCTCTTGGGCTTCAGAGCAGGGCAGCCCTAGTGAACCTCCTAGGAGCCACCCTACCACGCCCCTCCTGGGGATGACAGGGGAGCGAGTTGGCGCAGTCCCCAGCATATTTATAACCTGCTGCTCTGCACCAGAGTCCGCTTTTAGTCCAGACGGGGAGGGGGCAGGGGTGGTCTGTCTCATGCTGGGCGCCCCGGCTGGTGTGGAAAGAGTGAGTAAGGGCGGGAGGTGGGCAGCTCCGCGCGGGTATTCCTGCTCACGCCACAGCCAAACAGCTTATTTTCTCCTCATTTTGTTATTTTTCTGCCTCTGGCCTGAAGAGCAGGACTGAGCCAGCCCCCGGGGCTGGGGGAGGGCTCAGGACCCTAGGGTATTTGCAGCCCCACTGACAGGCTTTTTCCAGGGTGCGTGTGGCAGGGGCCATGTGGCCTGCTGCCCCAGTCCTCTCAGCTTTTCCACTCTCCCCAGGGTATTTCAGGGTGTGTAGCTCCCTCTGTCTCTCCTTCCCTCCCCCCCAACGAGGCCAGCCTGCTGTGTGAGGGTCCCTGCCTCAGACCCTCTGGAAGGGTGGCACCTGTGGCTGAGAGGTACGTGGGAGCTAGAGCGTCAGGCACATTCCTGACGGTGACGACACAGCCCCGCAGCCACCACCCTGGGCTTCTCTGGGCCCAGACTCCTGCAAGACTTTCTAAGTTTTTCTCCCAGGAATTTCCTGCTCTAGTGCCCCATGAGAACAGCGCAGAGGATGATGACAAAGCAGCCACATTCCTGAGTGCACTGTGGATCCCACAGCTTCTTTTACTGTTACTCGGGGGTGCTCCTGGGGGTCAACCCCAGAACCTTGTAGCTATGAGGGAAGTACTTGACCATTGAGCCTCATTGCCCAGCCCTTTGATTTACTTTTTCATTTTGCTAGAGCAGGCCCTGCTAAGGCCTAGCCTTATTCTGCAGGTTCCTGCATCCTTCCTCCTTGAAATCCCAGGCCCTTCAAGGTTGATAGCCTCGGGGCCGGGGAGATGGCTCAGTAGAATAAGCACTTGCTTGGCAACCCAAAGGCCTGAGTTCCATCCCTGGTTCTGGGGAAAAAAAAATTTGAAGGCCTCCACGCTAAGGTGGGGGAATAGAAGTCTGTCCTTAAGCTTCATGCAGGTGAAGAGGGCTGGACACCTGAAAGGCTTCCTTGCACTCGCCCCATTTTTCTGATGATATCTGCCAATGTGTGGTAGAGCTAGAACTCCAAGCAGGAGTGGTGGCTTGTTCCTCACTGTGCAGCAGCCCTGGGTAGATGCCTGGTGCAGAGGAGGTATTAAGTGTCCAAATGACCCAAATTTTTGAGTACATAGTCACCACATCTCCCTGAATGATAAGTGTGATAACATCTTGTTTAAGGCCAGGTCAGTGGAGGCTGAGAGTGAAGAGATGTGTCAGATGTCTAGCTGGGGAGGAAATGCTGTATCACTCGCCTTTCCCCTTCTTCCAGCTGCTGTGGCAAATTGGCCCAGAGCACTCAACCTCCAGGTTTGAAAGCTCCCACCCACTCTTGGAGTTAGGAATGAGATGTGAGTGGCTAGAGAGCTCAGCTGGCCAGTTCGATGGCTCGCCCAGCAGGGCCTAGGCACCCTCTCTCATGTCTGCCAGCCCAGTAACATCCTGAAGGCAGCACAGGATCCAATAGCTCTTTGGATTATGGACTGGTTACTCATTGTGGGGTGCTCTTTACTGGACTCCAAGCTTTCAGGTGCCTCCTAACAGGCTCCATAAAGTTTTTATTCCTCTCCTTAGTCTGCTTACCAGAGCTTTGATAGTGCCCACTTGGCAGACAGAGGGAGAGGGGCGTGGGTCTGGGGGTTGAGCAGCTGCCTCCACCCCCTTCTCTGCACGCATCTTAAAGGCCAGCAAGGCCAGAGCTCACATATCCAGGGAGGCTGGAGGCAGAAAGCCCAGCAAAGGCCTCCCAGAGAAGGGCAAATTCTCAAGCTAGCTGGAGCCAGTTGATGCCCTCGAGGAGATGGGCTGCTTTACAGCTTCTGCTACCCTTTTGGGGTGGGGGGTGCCAGAATGGGGAGGATGTTTGTCTGAAGTGAGGGTTCCACTAGACTAGGGTTGACCTAGAGCTGGGGACAGGGAGAAGTTAGAAACAGAGGCTTAGGGCTATTGGTGAGAGGCGCCCTCCTGCGGACTGATGACAGCACAGTAAGTCCCCTGAGCTATTGTTAGTACCACAGTAACCCTCATTCTGGGGCTCTGTGTGAAGGTCCAGCTTAGTAGTTTGGAGATGGGCTACACTTGATTATCCTCTTGTCACACTGGTTTCTTCTTCTTCTTCTTCTTCTTCTTCTTCTTCTTCTTCTTCTTCTTCTTCTTCTTCTTCTTCTTCTTCTTTTCTTCTTCTTCTCCTTCTCCTTCTTCTTCTCCTCCTCCTCCTTGCTCTCCTCCTCCTCTTCTTCCTCCTCCTTCTCCTTGTTCTCTTTCTCTTCCTCCTCCTCCTCCTCCTTCTTTCCCTCCGCCTCCTCCTTCTTCTTCATGCTGGAAATCAGACTCAGGGTTTCTGCTTGCCAGTCAAGCCCTTGCGCCCTGGAGCTATCTCCCTGCCCAGTCACACTGGTTTAAACTTAGCTTGTGTTTGGATTCTAAGCCCCCTGCCACTTTCTTCTCTCCCATATCATCTCTGAGGTCTTTGGATCCAAGGCTGGAGCTTGTGTCCTGAGTCCTCCTAATCCCAGGGTTAGGAGCTGGGTTCCTAACAGGTGTTTTCCAGCCTGTGACAGAAAAAGTGGCTCACTGCCCAATGCGCTGACTGCAGTGGAAAGGACAGGCTTTAGGAACTGACAGCTCCACCTCTAGGCTAATGGCACCTTTGCTTTTTCCTTGCTTCTTTTTAGAACATGGTCAGGGCTATCACTCAATTCTAGCTATTTCACAACTCCTCCACATGGGAAAAGCAGGCTTGGAGTTTGTTTCATTTATCAGGAAGGCTCTTGCTCACACCACGCAGCCAGCTGCATTAGAACAGGAGGAAGAACCCTGTAGGATCCTTGGGCTCCTGACCAGGGTCTTGTCCTGAGAGATGCGGGTGGCCTCACTAGTGCCATCCAAGGACCAGAACCTCAGGGTACACTTGTAGACCTGGGAAATCAATTCCCCAACAATGTACCTTAGTTGTGTAAAGGAAGTAAGCACCTAGGCCTTGGAGTGGAAGAGGACAACCCTAGCCATGTTGTGCTCTGGATTCAAGGAAAAGCTACAAAGTCAATGATAAAAATAGAGAGTTTATTTTGCAGAGGAAGATACTACATAGATGGGGGCGAAGAGCCACTAATAGCTGCAGTGGAAGGAAGTACTGATTCCGGTAGGCAAAGGCATCTTTGAGAAACCAGGGGCGGGGAAAAAAGGTTGGAGAACAAAATGAAAGAAGAGTGAGAGGGATAAGGTTAGGGCAAAGGTGGTCTTGCAAACCAGGCAGGAGCCCAACACAATAAATAGTTTTATTTACAACAACCAAACTCGTGGCTTTGTACCCACATTTCAGTGCAAATTATTTACACACTGATGAGGAGGACGACAGGAAGGGGTAGGAGGTGGTGAAGAGGGGCCGCAGCTGTTCAGTGGCCCCAGGGTGGAGAGTGGGAGAACGGGGGCTTTGCCGCTGGGCCCCCACTTGTTTTCTACATCATCACAGCTGCCCCTTCACCCCAGAACCTCTTGATTCAATTGCAGGTGGCCAGGAGAAAGGCCGCGGTGCCAGGTGCGTGTGCAGCATAAGCACCTTGGACAGAATGAGACGGGGAAGGGGAAGGGGAAGGGGAAGGGGAAGGGACTCCCGCTGTAGGGAGCCGGAGAATACGGACAACAAAGGGTAAGGTCAGAGGCTGAGAGACCCTCCGTGCTGGCGCTGGCTGGCGCTGGCTGGCTCTGGCAAGGGAGCCAGCCCCACCACAGGATCTGGAGCTGACCGTGGAAGGGAGGGGGCAAATCCTTCTCTTACCTTGGCCAACCTGGGGGCAATGCCAAAGGGGGCTCCCTTGGAGAGGGAGGTAGGAGCAGATCCATCAGGATGGCCAGAAGGTTCACGCCTGAGGAGTCCCCAGGTAGCAGGAGGTGGGAGAGACGGGAGATGGGGTGGCTGGAGGTCCTGGGGTGGGAGGATGTTAAGGGCCAGGAGCGTTGGGCGCGTCTTTCTCAGGAGGCCAGGAGGACCACGCTCCTAGGGTGCGGGTCTCCCGGTTCACAGACACTCGTGCAGTACGCGTGTGTGAGTACAGTTGCGGCAGCTGACGTGGCAGCACCAGTGGAAGGTGCAGTTGCAGCGCTCGGTGACGCGCTGCGTGCGCGTGCGGTGACCACGGCCGCAGCAGAGCAGCTCGCAGCCGTCCAGCGCGGGGGACGAGCTGTTGCAGGCTCGGCCCGCCGTGCCCGCGGTGCCCAGGCGCCCGCTGTACGTGCAGAAATTGGGCGACTTCTCGAAGTAGACGAGGTCGTGCGGAGAGGGCGGTTTGTGCGCGGGGTCCTCGGGCTCCAGGCGCAGCAGCTCCGCGCGCGACGCCCGGTTGCTGCCGCGGTTGCCGTAGAGAACGCGAGAGGCGCCGTCGAAGCGGTCGCGCAGCACGTCGCCCACGGCGCGCAGCGTGGGCAGCCGCATCCAGCACGTGCGCACGGTGCATGAGCCCGACATCCCGTGGCACTTGCACTCCTGGCGCATCTCGGAGAATACGGTCTGGGGAGAAAGCCGCGCCGTCAGCCGGGCCGTCGTCGCAGAAGCTGCCCCCTCCCGGACGTCGCCGGGAGCTCAGCGAGGGCCCAGGCCGGCGAGCCCGAGCGAGAGAGACGAAGAGCGGCGGTCTGCGCCCGGGCCTTGGCTCTCGGGCCTGGGCAGTGCGGGCCGGGCGGCAGGGCGGGCGCTGCTGGACCAACCCCTCCCGCCCTTCCTGCCCAGCCCGGGCTGGCGGCCCTCGGCCTCCCGCTCCCCGACGCCCTCTCCCGGCGCCCCTCACCGTGCGGCCCGCCTCGTTGTTATGAAGGTTCATGAGGAAGCGCAGGTCCCGCCCCTTCTCCCCGGAGTCCACGAACTCCCGGCCGAAGAGGCGACCGAAGTCGATGTTGTCGCTGCAGCCTCCCCAGTGCCAGTCGGGGCCCCCGGGGCCACGCCGCCGGTAGTCGCACGTGCAGGACTCGATGGAGCCCTCGGAGCAGGAGCGCGCCACCGAGTGGGTGACCCCGGCGGAGGTGATGGCGAAGATAAACGCTGTTTCCCGACAGCCTGGGGCGAGAGGCGCTGGGCTGAGTGACAGGGCCGGGCCAGCCGGCGCCCCGCGCCCGCCTCGGCCTTTGGGGCCCTTGAGAGCCGCGAAGCCGCGATGGGAAGCTGCTCTGAGGGCCTCATAGAGAAAGCAGTGCGGGAGCAGCGCCTGCGAACTCTCCTGATCGGGTCTTGCTGGAATTCTTCAGAGCGTTTTGGGCTCTAAAACGGAAGTGGGCGTCGCCAACACACACACACACACACACACACACACACACACACACACACACACACTCCAGAGAGGAGGGGAAGAGTGCGTCCTGCAAACCTCCCTCTAGTCCCAAGGTGCGGCCCGCGTTGGTAATGCAAGCTGTACTGCTGAGTAGGTAGTAAGACACACGTCCACAGCCGGCACTTTGAGCAAAGTGAGGGGAGAATGGTGAGCCGCCGGCCGGCGGGCTGGAACCCCCGTCCAACTGAGCTGAGAAAAGTTAAACTTCGTGCCCAAGGTGTGTGGCCGGAAGGCGCCTGGTAGAGTCTAGCGCGCAGCTGGCTCCCGGCTCCAGGCGGTTGGCAGGTTGCTCGGTGACCCTGTAGGCGCCTGGGACATTTTTCCTGCACTGGCCCGCCTATGCCCTGGGGGTGACCCTGCCTTTTCCCCGGTCCCGGAAGCGTCGCCTTCCGGGGCACCCACCTCGGTTGACGATCTTGCCGAAGAGGTGGGGCCCAGGAGCAGTGGGGCAGTTCCAGCGGCGGTTCCGGAACTGCCACTTGCACTCTCGCACCGCACTCTGCAGCCCGCTGCTCACGCTGTGCAGGATGCCTGGGTTCTGACGGATCAGCCGCCTCTGTTTGCGGCTCAACAGTTGCAAACTGGGCTCGAGCACCAGTTGCAGGCTCTTGGAGTCTGTTAGCAGGTTCGTAGAGGACGCTACGTTCACGATGCCCCTGTTGGAACGCAGAATGAGAGCTCAGGCTCAGCGAGAGGACCTGCACTCCAGTCACAAAGGTCAGCCTTTGCGGTTAGGGTGCTGTACCCTGCCTGGAGCCATGTGCCTGAAGACAGCACCGCGATACCAATAATAAGGTAACCGCGACTAGGTGCTCCTGAGTTCACTCATTTGAAAGAACAGGGCATTCAGACTGTTGTGTGGCCAGGGGAGAGAAAGAGGAAGATTGGATGTCTACCTAGGGTCTCCCAGCCTCCAAATCCTGGCCTGCAAAATGCTGAGGAGTCCCCCATCCTTGTCCACCCTCCAAGCTGGCACCTGATCCTTTGCTCCTTAGCACGGGGAGACCCGTGGTACAGCCGCCACAGCGCGCCTGGGCCTGGGCTCTTGCGGGAAGGGCGGTGCTATATGGGAGTGGACGTCCTCGGGCAGGTCATCTGCCCCATTTGGACAGGCTGGACTGTGCGGGGCAGCTCGGGGTCCCGGAGCACCCCTGTGTGTGGCAAAGTCAGAAGGCAGAAGGGAGTCTGGGCTCATGGGTCCCCGAGCGTGGAGCCGCGCGGGGCTGGCCCCTGGCTCTGTGCCCTAGGCCAAATGGAGACCCCGCTCCAGCTCACTTACCACCATCGACCACTGCTGTTGGCAGCCAGGGCTGCGGGCAAAGCGGCCAGCACCACCAGCAGCGTAGCAGAAACCCCGCGGGGCAGCAGCGTCCAGCGCCCCATGGCCTGCTTGGCCCGGCCGGTTCTGTGCTGCAGCTGCGGCGGCTTTGGCTGCTGCCCGCGACGGTGGGACCGGACGCGGTGGTGGCGGCAGTGGCGCGAGGTCGCAGTCTGGCTTTAACAACCCTGGGGGCGGTCGGCGGGCAGCATGGCCCGCGGTCCCGGTTGGTGGGCTGAGGCGGCCACGGCGGGCGGCGCCGCCTCTTATAGTCGCGACCCTGGCTGGAGTGACAGGAGCCTGTCCGCCGCCGCACCGTGGCCGGGGCGCAGCGCTCAGGGCGCAGACAATGGGCAGCGAGCGGGCCGTGGCTCCCGCCCGTCTGAGCAGAAAGCGGACGCGCTGGCCGTCGGGGCGCACCCCCGCCCCCTGCCCGGTGGCCCCCGCCTCCGAGCCGCACCAGCCGCGGACCCCTCCCCTTAAGGCTCTCGCCCACGCACACCGCCTCACTAGGTCGGCGTTGGGAGCCCGCAAGGACCCGCGTCCGCTAGGGGGCGCGGCGACAGCGTGCTTAGGGTGAGCCCTCCCGGAGCACAGACAACCCAGCTGGCCCGGAGCGGAGGCTCCTCTCTTGCTGTCACCCAGGCTCCGCCGGCCGCCGGGCTCTCCTCTCTCCCCACGCTGAAGTCAGAAGGGAAGTTATGGTTCTGGACAGCAACTCTGGAAGGACGCTTCCGCGCGCACGCTCTAGAGCATCCCTCCCCCACGGCTGCGCAGAGCAGGAAAAGGGGAGATTGGGACCGCGTGGACCTGTGGTCAGGGAAATCCCGGGAGCGGGTTGCTGGTGGATGGAGAGGGCCCCGCAGCAGCAGCAGTTTGTACTTGAGGGCCAGGAGAGTCAAAGTGCGCGCGCGTGCGTGCATGTGCGTGTCAGTGTGTTGCTTATGCGTGCGCGCAAGTGCGAATGTACGGGTGTTCTGAGGGTGCGTGTTATGCAGATAGGTGTGCTCAGAAGCTCCCAGTTCTGGGGAAGGAGGTTAGGAGCACATCCCAAAGAATCCCGGATTTAGCTGGGTGGGAAAAGAGCGTCAGGGTCATTTGCTCAGAGCCGCTGCATTGGGTGGTGTGCGAGGAAGGAGACGGCCGAGGACGAGTGTGGCTGGAGCCATGCCTGCAGGTGGGTGGATGAGTGTATGTTGGAGGGAGGTTAAAATATGTGTGTGTCATCCTGCCACCCTGTGGTGCGCCTTGTGTCACCCTGTGATGTGTCACCTTGTATCCCTGGGGAAGAAAGATGAGGCCAATGGAGTGGATAGGAAGATGAACCAGGCCTGAGTGGGTAGGTGCCAGAATGGGGGTCAGCTGTGTGGTGGGAGTAAGGGCTGGACAGAAAAGGGCAGTTGGGTAAGCTGAACCTGGCAAGCTTATTCCTCCATGTGTTACTTCTCTTGGGCTTTTCTTGCCGAGTTATGGTCTACCTCCACAATTCTGGTTCTTAACTGGAGATGGTGGTGCTCACCTATAGTCCCAGCACTTGGAGGCTGAAGCAGGAGGATCTCATCGAGTTTGAGGCTGGCCTAGACTACTTAATGAGTACAAGACCAGTCTGACCTGCATAGTGAGACCCTGTCTCAAAACAATAAATTGTGGCTTTTTCCATTCTTACCACACAGGGCCCTGCAGAGTGCTGGTCACGTCACACACTGTGCACTTTTCTCTTGTCTCTCTAGGCTTTCATGGCCTACTACTAAAGAGATGGCTACTGCTTCCTATTGGAGGACCAGGGCACTGCCAGCCTGGTGGTGATGCTCAGTGACTCCCAGAATTGCCCCCATGGTGTATCTGTACACTCTCCTCTCTCCCATTTGACAGAGGAAGTAGGTGAGGCAGTTGTCTAAGTTACAGTTAGTAAATGATTGAAGGGTCCACCTTACCAGATGCTTGCCAGAGTACAGCAGTAGGCCAGAGACCCTTCTAAGAAATGACAGGAAGTAAAGATTTTAAAGATTTTTAGTACTTTTCTGCCTCCCTTTTGGATCTTTTTTCTCCATCGCCCACTCCGTTTTTTGCTGTACTGGGGGGAGGGTCAACCTCAGGGCCTTTGCAGGAGTCTACATGCTTAGTTCTTTTTTCTTTTTTCTTTTTTTTTCTTTTTTTTTTTTTTTTTTGCGAAACTGGGGATTGAACTCAGACCCTTGCGCTTGCCAGGGAAGCGCTTATTCCACTGAGCCATCCCCCTGGCCCCTTAATTTTTAATTTTTAAAAAATTTTTGGTTCTAGGAATCGTACTCAGGACCTTGCACTTGACAGGCAGGTGCTGTGTCACTGAGCTATATCTTCAGCCCTTAATTTTTAATTTGGATACAGTCTGGCTAAATTGCTAAGATACTAAATTACTCAGAGTGGGCTCATACTTGTAATCTTCTTGCCTCAACCTCCCAGCATGCTGGGATTACAGGTGTGTGCCACCTCCTCTGGCTCTTTATGTTTTTAGGATGCTTTATGACTCGGTAATTTACCTAGGTTTTACACTAAAAAGTCTCAGTTGCCAGAAATGGAATGAACAGGCTCTTGAAGATGGGAAATCACTCTAAAGAGTAATGCCTGGTAAGTGTAGCTAATATTCACGGGACGCTTGTGTTTTAAATTAGATGTATATAGGGTTATAGCTGAGTGGTACGATGGTACAGTTCCTCCCTGTAAGGTCCTGGTACTGAGGTACACAGAGGAGAGAGAGAGAGAGAGAGAGGGAGAGAGAGAG